TCATAACGTCTTATCTACATCCGAGAGACTACAAGAAGGTTATGGATCACTTCTTATTTGTACTAGTTAAAGATTTTAGTACGATGAATGTGTTTCCATGGGGTAAGTCGCTGTTTGATACACTAGTAAATTCATTGAGGGAGGAGTTGAGTAAGAGATCAACACATTAAGACTCAAAGGCTTGCTCATACCCTTTCAAGCGTGGATTTATGAGACAATTCGCAGTCTTGATGGATACACAACCGAGAAGGACTTCCAGAGTGTACCCCCAGATAATGAACTGGGCGACTGATGATCATCCTTCGGCTGCGAAACTCGAGGGGCCTGAATGCTTCTCCAATCTGGACGTAAGTGACCACTGATGCAGCATTACTGGTTTCGAAATATTAAACTTCTACATTTTTTTCATGTTCCAGATCATATTTCTTAGGTCATCAATATATTTAGTCAAGTCACAAATTGCATTCACGAAGTCACAGATTTTATTCATTATGTCACACGTTTTCAATATAGGTCACACACATTTTCACAGCGCCATTTGCCCTTGTTATATCACAATCCATAGAAACATATTGAATATGTGTGATGTGCAAAATTATATCTGTTCGTTCATACATAATTTTTGGTTGCTGACATTGCACTTTTTGCTGTGATATGAATGGCAGTTGGAAATATGTGACATGGACCCTCCACCAGCTAAAATGGCAATGCCATACATGATTCAGGTGCCGTATGAGAAACCCGTCCCACCCGATCGGTCACATGGGGAGAAGAGAAAGGGTGGTAGTATAGACCGATCAGTTCATCGTGCTGGGACTAGTACAAAACCAAGTAATTCGGGAATGAAACAATCTACTCCCATGCTTCTAATAACTGATGGACGATTGGGACACTCCGATCTCCCCATTGATGATGATGACTTTGTTGACGCACCGCCCAGTTGGAAGGGGACATCAATCCATGAAGATTCTCCAAGTGGGAAGCGTAAGTCAGATGACACTACGATTCAGAGGATATGCCGTCAAAAGATGTAAGCTCTTCCAATTTCATCTATCATGTCACAAGTCCATTTGGTCACATACAACTTCTCAGGTCACAGGTTTCAATTATTAGGTCACATATCAATACACGTTTCATTGCTGATCACAGATCAATGTTATATTTCATCATCATAAGTTACCTGATTATAGGTATTAATGTGATGCAGGTGGTCGACGAATTGAGGAACTATTTCAAAGGACAGATATCTGATCTCCAGTCTGAGAATCGGTTGCTAAGCAAACAGCTTCAAGCAATGCAGTCACAGGTGTCATCTTTGAAGTCTGATCAGCAAAAGAAACTGAAGCTGCTTGTTCGCATGCAAGGTGAAATTCGTACCGACATGTTGGACATCAAATCACACATGCAGCGTATGTCTGATTCTGTGACTACATTGATATCTAGTTCAATGGAAGAAATTATGAACAAATTTAGAGACAACTCAGGACCAGAAACTGTTGGAGGATCTGGACCAACAAGCGAAGTCGGTACCCCAACTGTGACTGTCTCTTATTTGTCTGTTACCACAAACCTTTTGATATACACTTCTCATCAAATGTATTTTTGTTCTGATTTTCAAGCTGCAAAAGTCGAAAAAAGTGTTGATTCGAAAGGCAAAGCGAAGGTTGACTCTGCATACGCAGTTGAATTTCCATGTTCTATTGAACCTCCATCTTTTGGTCTCGGTCTTGGATTTACACAACCAAACCAGTTTTTTGCAAAAACATCTAAGGAAGTTGAAGTGCAAGTGGACTCGGTCATATCCAATGTTTTGAAGGACACGAAATGTATTGAGCAAGAGGTATAAAAAATCTATGTATTTGTTGATTAATGCATGTCACATATTAAAAAACACATTTTATTATGCAGCACTCACCTGAGGCCACACCAAGTTTTGGATTGCCGGTGAAGAGGGCTCCAAAGCCAGTTAAAGCACTTCAATCCCCTTATGTTGTCGACGAAGTGAAACAAATGAAATTGTCAGGAAACATAGTGGTCTTCGAACACTACAATTAGAATGTACACGATGCAGATATTGCTGACTTTCAAAATTGATTTTAAAGAGGATACAAACCGCATAACAAGTACGAAATTGTTGTCATATTTTCATAATTTTCCAAATAATGATTCGTACTTCTCGTTCACAGGAAGAAGTTCAATGATAAAGATGATGCCATCCGTCCACCTTTTTCCATCGGTCAGTACTTGGTGGGAAACAAGACATGGTGGTATGAACTTGTATCTAGGGAGGTGTCGTTGACTAGTTCGGTAAGTTACTACACAAAAGTAACAGTTCTAAAGGGCATGTCACAGTACATGTCACATTAGTCACAAGTCATTGTATAATAGTCACACAGAGCATGGGTCACAGATCACACGAGCAATAGGTCATAGATGATGCATGGGTCATGGATCACATGAACAATATGTCACAGATGATGCATGGATCACAAATCACACGAACAGTAGGTCACAATCCACGGTGCACAGAAAAACACATATTTGCAGGTGCAACAGTATAGCTCACATGTATTTATTACATCACAGATCAGTTATTGAATGGTCACTAACTACAGGTTGTATTGGTCACACATTCTAACCGAGTCACACATCACATTAATAGCTTATTGCATCATGTTTTCTGGTGTATATATGATTTTTTAATTGTTTATTGTACTTGCATCTCTGTAGCATATGGATGTGTACTTCTACTACATACGTCAAGTGGCAAAAAGTGTGAGTGATCACAAGTTTGTAACTACCACAACGGACTCATTGTTCCAGGCCAAGCTCAAGCACATGTATCCTAGTTTCAAGGATGATGCAAATGTTGTTGTGACAGATGATAGACTGATTGACAACATTACCGGTGCACGAATTCCATTGAGCACTCCATGGGCTGAAGTCGACCTTGTGTTTATCCCACTTCTGCCTACCAATAAAGCACATTGGATGCTTGGAGTGTTGGACATAAAGACACATACGTTGCGTTTATTGAATTCGTCCAGGAAGACATACAATGATATCAAAGTCCGTGTTGGAATTGAACCTTTTGTCAGCATGCTTCCGCATCTCATGAAATGTGTTGGAATATGGAAAAAAGATTCCATGGAGTTGAATGTGGATCTTGATTTCTCTCTTCCCCAACAGAAAAATGGGCAAATATTTTTACCTCCACATACAGTTAAACATATTATAACATGCTGGATTTCATAGCTAACAGTTTGATATTTGCGTTCCTAGACATGATTGTGGCATATACGTGGTCAAGTATGCGGAGTACATGCTGCATGACGATATAGGATCCATGCTCATGAAGTTTGATGCGAGGAGAGCTCGGTTGGATGTAGCTTCATTGTTGTTCAAATATCGTGAAATCGGGAAGGCTAGAAAGACGGTGCAGCCAACTGGTGGGGAAAGCATTGTTTTATATTGATAGTGCAATTAGCAGTCACAAGTTGTAATAGATGAAAACATTCTCTCGTGTTTGGAAATTCGTTTGTAATGACAACGCAGTTCTTACTTTTGTCTGTTTATATCAGAAAGTTCATTAGTGTTTGGGGACTTTATTACATTGTTTTTCAGAAGTTTCACTATATATCATATTTTGCAAGATTGACGATGTATCGAGGACAAAGTGTCAAAATTTAATGCATAAATTTTTGCCATTGTGTTATTTTATTAGCACAGGTGGTAGACATGTTTATCGATTGACCGACGCTGAAATTGACCCACTCCAGTTTTTAGGATTATTTGCAGTTCATAGGTCACTGGTTATTGTAAATTGGTCACAGGTCAATTCTCATTGTCACAGGTCACTGTATCCTGGTCACAAGTCATTGTATATTGGTCACGGGTAGTTGTGTTGTGTTCACAGGTCATGAAGAATTATCACAAGTCAATCCAATCTGGTCATAGGTCATTGAAGATTGGTCACAGATTATCAGCAATTCACAGGTCACTGTATCATGCAGTTCACAGGTCACTGGTTATCTGCAGTTTTTAGGATTATCACAGGTCACTAGTTTTTAGGACTATTTGCAGTTCACAGGTCACTAGTTATTGTAAATTGGTCACAGGTCAATTCTCATAGTCACAGGTCACTGTATCCTGCAGTTCACAAGTCACTGTATCCTGGTCACAGGTCATTGTATATTGGTCACAGGTAACTGTGTTGTATTCACAGGTCATGAAGAATTATCACAAGTCAATCCAATCTGGTCACAGGTCCTTGAAGATTCGTCACAGATCATTTAATACTTTTGTCAGAACTAATTGCAACTAAACCATCGTCACAGATCATTTAATACTTTTGTCAGAACTAATTGCAACTAAACCACTCCCATTTTCCTGAGTCTTTGCAATTGGTCACTAGTCATCATTTGTTGGTCACAGTTTAGAGCATATTTGTCACATGTCATTGGCTATTGATCTTATGTCACTTCATCCTGGTCACATGTCTTGATAAATGGTCACAGGTCACTGCATATTGGTCACAGTTCATTGAAGTCTAGTCATGGATCATGTTATATATTCACAGTTGATTGCACAGGGGTCACAGGTCACTGCATTCTGATCTCAGATCATTATATATTGGTCATAAATCACTGCATTCTGGTCACATGTCATTAATAATGATCACAGCTACTTCATACTAGTCACGGGTTATTGAAGAATGATCACAGATCATTTCATCTTGGTCACAGCTAATTTCATATTGATCACAGTTCACTGCATGATTGTATAACAATTTTTCCTACAAATTTTCATGTGTGATACATTCGTTGAGTTTCTCATACGTGCTAGTGGTCACACATTCTTGTCGAATATCTAAAGTGCATTGCAAAAAATCTTAGCATTGTATTGGTTATAATATGGTTAATATGTGTCATCCAATGTTGTGCATCCTATATTTACAAAAAATCATTGAATGAAAAAACGAGGGAATTATAAAAAATATGTCAATGTGTATTTCCAGTCTTCGTCCTCTTCCTCTCTTTATTCTTGTTGTTTTGACTTAACGGAACTAAGTTGCTGCATGTTCTACGATTGTAACCACTTTCACCACACCGATCGCATTTGACGATTATATTTTCCTCATACGCTGGTCTGAATCTCTTCTTAGTAGGCCTTCCACAACTTCGCTTTTGATTAAGTGCAATTACAACCATGTCATGGACATCATTTGGTACTATCCATTCAGCTGGATTTCCTACAAGGAAAAATGTTTTCTTGGTATGTATTTCTAAATGCTTCACTTGTGTAGTAGTAGTAGGAACAGTATTCATATAGATCCATCTTCATACTCGCAAACACAGCTAAAACATGTGGACAATGTAGTTGATCAACTTGAAACATCCTACATGTGCACGTCCGATTTTCTATATCAACAACGAAAGAGAAACTTTCACCGCTAACTGAGAACGTTGCCTGATTAATAGGGGAAACCTACAGATATAGATTCAAGTTATAGACATAATAAGTCACATAATGAAAAAGTAGGATACAGATGAAATTGCATGTCACGTAGTTATATATAATATTGCACAAGTATTACTGAAACACAACGGTACAGATCACAGCAGAAGTCACAGCACATGTCACGGATCAGTTCAGGTAAGTCACAGATTATAGATTAGGTTACAATATTTAACCTCACCCTCAAGTTTCTCATATCTGTGCTCATTTCCCTCATCTTCTTCTCATACTTGCTTGACAAGGTTGTAAAAGTGCCTTGGACGTCCTCCTTGTGTCTGCAAAACCAAGATTGTAGAATTTGTCTTAATGACTCCAACAAAGCTATAATAGGGTAGTTCTTGGCAGACTTTGTGACCGCATTAACCGACTCCACAATATTCGATGTCATTGTGGAATACCAGTTTGAAGACATGTGGAAACGTGACCACCTCTCAAGTCCAACTTCGTCCTATAAACAAAACCATGAAAATGTATATCATATAGTGTATCATGTTAAACGTATTTATGTAAATATCATCATAAGACAACGTATAGTATAGTACCAGATAACCTCTTATCTTCTCATTAATCGAGTCGAGTTGTTGCATGTAATATTCATATTCCAACAGTGTGTAGGCACGAACAGCTGCACTGAATGCTTGTGTTATATTTTGTCCCGATCTCCCGAACCGCGATTTTAGATTTTGTAGTAGATGGTACGAACATATCTCGTGACATGTTCCCGTATACACGTTTTCAATCGCCCTTTTGATGCTGTTGTGACGATCCGACACAAAACACAAATCGTCTCTATCCCCATATACTTTCCTCAACTGTCTAAAAAATCATGTCCAGGAGCTATCATTCTCGTTATCCCCAATCCCGAAAGCATGTACATAAATGCTGTTATTTACATCTTGTGTACATGCCGTGAATAAGGTGCCACCATAGTGTCCATTTAGATATGTGCCATCAATCACAACAACTGGCCTACAATGTTTCCATCCCCATATAGATGCACCTAGTGTCATGAAACAATATTTAAATCTATTGTGACCATCAATTTCTAGACTTGTGATTGGTTCAGAATTTGTTTGTTGTAGCACGAAAAAAATGTTGGTATCTTATTGAATGAATCAGTTGGATCACCCCTTAGCACTTTCAGAGTTTTCTCTCGAGATTGCCAAGCTTTGACATAATTCAATGATACTCCATATGTATGCAGCACGTCGTTGCGTATATTGTTCGGTGTGTATATGGTGCGCGATGATGTGTACTTGTACTTAATGCAGGTTGACACAACTGTCTTTGTTACTTGCCTATGAGTACTGAGTACGATGTTTGAAGCACATATGTGACCTTCTGCAATGTGTCTGATTTTAAACATATCTGTTCTGGCTAACTTCGATGCTCTACATGTCCAACTACACTCATCACGTGAACATTTCACGAGATAGTCTTTCTTATCAGACCGAACAACCACGTACTCAAACATTTTTTGGATTGCATAAAACGACAAGTTCAATTTCATTATCTCCTCGTTATGGAAAACTCTTCCTTCCTAGTATCTGCCACCGCCACAACTGTGATATCATGCTCAACCTTGTCACTCGATGGATCCATTATTGCTCTATATATATCTGATGACATAACTGTTAATGAAAACCCATGTTCATTCGATTGAACATCAACTGATAGCGCAATAGGCCATTTTTCAATATCTACAGTTGTAACCTCGATTTGAATTGGATATTTGGCAGGGTCATGATTCATATCCTACAAAACCATGTAAGACAAGACATTCTCGTCACTTTTGATTGTTATTGGAGGTAGATTACAATTCAAGACATACTTCATTATCACAGCAACTTTGTAGGGTCGAAGCTAAACCCTTCCATAACTGTGTCGACAAGTCTCAAATACCCGCAACTACGATCAATTAACACCAATGATATTTGTGATCCATTCAACAGACATACGTGAATTAACCTCATTTCTGCAAAATGAGCAAAAACATGAATAGTCAAACATCCAATTATATTTACATCTAGTTGCATATGGGGTCAAAATTATGTTAATGGTCAAATGTCACAACAAACATATCTCGAATCTCAAGTATCATTGTCACGTATTGAATACATGCAGGTCACATATTTTTATTTCCCAGATTTTTTTACGAGAGGTCACAGGTCATTGCATATTTGTCACATGCTGTTGAAGAGTGGCCACAAGTCTTTGTATATTGGTTACAGTTAATTGCATGTCAGTCACAATTCTGTGAAATGATCACAGGTCACAGCAAACGCATGCCGTATCTTGAATGTCATGGTCACATATTGAATACATGCATGTTACATATGCATATTAAATTACAATTACATGCAATAATCAGTCACGGTAACTAAGTTTAGATCTGCCGCATATGATTAGATTCAAACAAGAGCATTAATATCACATGACACAGATGTAGTATGTCACACGTCACACATTCCGAGACACAAACACCCATGCGTACTAATTGCATGAGGTCACATCTTATGAATAGCCGATCACATGTTTTTCATAACGGTCACAACAGTTTCGAACAGCAATGTACGATATTCATGATCACAGTTCCGTCAAAAATCACATTTTCATCAATCGAAACTTGTTTAGCATGAATAAACTATAAATTATAATGAATAAATCGTAATTACACACCTGATGAATGTAATGAGTGACTGTTCAAGGGACCGTGTTTTAATCCGACGTAATACGACCCAGCGACTAAAATTTGTGACCATATTTCGATTTTATCGTTACTTTCACGAGCGGTAATTTGGATGTATTTTCAGATCTTCTGGCTATTGGAATCAGCTTGAGAGATGATTTCTTCTTTTTATGAAGAATCCTGCTGGTACGGTATTTCAAGCTAATTCTTCGGGATTGTTTTTCATTTTAAATTAAATTAATATTTGTATTCATTTTTAAGCTAATATCTGATTGGTGAAATATGATACTTATTTTCTTATTTTTGAAATACCCTGTACTTAATCTTCTGTATATGAAATTTTCTCTTAAAATATCTCAAACTCAAACAAGATGAGCCTAAACTAAAGGTTTAAGACCAGCTACACGTGCGAACTTCCCTAACGTTAAAGTGGTGACGTCTACAAGCGATTCTAAATTCCTCTCCCCTTCAAACGACAGATCCAACATTCCGCCGGCTTCGCGATTACTACAACATAGTCAGTTCGCAGTAATCTACATACATCTAGAGAGGGTTTGTAACGGTGTGGGATAGAGGAAAGATGGTGAGCAAAACAGAGGAAGAACACGTGAATAGATTGGAGAGCCAAGTGGAAAATGGAGGAGGAGGCGAGTGGGAGTACCTCTGTCTCGTCAGAAAGCTCAAGCTTCGGCGCTCTTTTAATGTGTTGAAGTATGGCTTGTCGATCCTTAACAACCCCAAAAAGCGATCTGCTCTTGGCCCTGAAGGTATGGCTTTTTTCTTTTTGTGAATCTAGGTCTGAAAAAAGAGTTAATTTTGGATTATGGGATCTGGGTGTTTTAGATCGTTATTCTGAAGCAAAATAATACTGGCGGTTGGATATTTTTCAGCTAATTATTAGATACAGTTAATATAAAGGTAGTTGCAGTAAGCATCATATGAGATTTCTGCTGGTTCTTTTCAATTGAGATTATCTGATGAAATTTTGAGTATGACAGGCTTTCTTCAGCTTGTCTGAGATATTTTGATTTTTATGATTCTGAATGAATTATGCCGAATTTCTTCTCTCGTGTTCATCTGGAAACCCCTCAATTTCCTGTCTTTTTAGTGGCAACATTTTCACATTAATTTAGAACATAAGAAACATGTAAACATTAGACCAAGAAATTCTTTTATTTTACTTAAGTTTCTCGTCCGTTCCCACCCACTTCCAAATCAGGTAGCTAGTTTACTTGAATAGAAAAGCAAAAAGAGGCACCTTACTAAGAGGTGAAAGACTTGTAGCTTATTTGGAGTTTGCATGACGAGTAAAATAGAAAAAATAGGCACCCAAGTACATGAATAACATCATGAAGATTCTGGTGATTAGTTCTCAACATGATTAAAGATTACCGTTCACGGTGACTCACCACGTAATGTGAAGAAAATTAGAGTTGCCAAAATTTGACTGACATCATGGATAGATTTCACAATGTGTACGAGGGACCACCTCTCAGGAACCCAGCTGATATTCTCTTTTAACTACGATTGATATATGTGTTCTCCATAAGAAGCAAAAAGCTCTAAATAACAAGGTTAAAATGCATGAATCTCTTAGGGATTTTTATGTGGAGGTTGAGTAATCTACCATGCCTAATAAAATAGTCAAATTGTAAGCCTGTCATATTCCTTTTCACCCTTGTTCTCTAGAAAGTTCTATACCATGGTTTAGTTATGACTTATGTGCCTTCCACCATAGTTGGACGATTGCTAGAATTTGAGACTTCGATGTTGGTTAATGTGTATTTTTTTCTAGTTTTTGGTTATCTTTGATTTTTAAATATTTCTGGTTGCTGACTCATCAGTTTACTTAACATAAGCTAACCATTACATCTTTTGACGTACATTTCTATATTTTGCACCTTATTCTTTAATGAATGGGATGTCGAAATGACCTATTCCTTTTTCCCGTTTCCAAATGTAGAATGGACTTTGTACGAGCAAGTGGCCGTTACAGCTATGGATTGCCAGCATCTTGATTTGGCAAAGGTAGACATCTTTGTTAAATACGTTAAACAGCTTAAATTTGGATTACTCGCTATAGTACATCCACCTTATTCATAATAATTCCATCATAGAAGATTCCTATTCCCATTATTATTATTTTCTCCGAGACTGCACAAACTGCCCTTTCAACTTAACTATTATTGAACGTTTATGGTTTGAAAGTGTAATTTGCGTCCAATCTAGCCTCTTCAGCCTCCTCCCTTTCCAGGGATTAGATATGCCAAGATAAATTGTGTGCAGTGTTAAATTTAATCTAGTTTCGCTATATCAGACTGTGGAATTAAGTCTAAGAAAATGAAGTTTGCATACAAGATTGTGGAAAGTTTTCATATTGACATTCTTAACTACGAGGGCTACGAAATTGATGGCATAATTTCAAACTGTGCCCAAAAGTTTTTTGATGTACTAAGGTTGTGGGGGCGGGAGGTGACTGTAACTTTTAATAGTGATGAATAAGTGTCAAAAGGTCATCAAATTAGATAACGACTTTTTGCTTGTAACATGGTTAAGCTTATTGAGGGCTTTCTTTGCAGCTAGTTTGGAGAGGAGCCTCGCTAAGTTGACCCCTTTTTCTTACAAGAAGGAAGTTACATGCTAGTTTGATGGAGTCCTTTTACAAATTGAATTGAAACAGGTTTAACTAGAGGATAGTTAGTACAGGATGTCCAATGAATGAAATGCTTTTCCAAAGGGAAATAAAATTTGAAGTTGAGTTACCAATGAGTATTGCTAGACTTAGGCTCTGGGGAGTCCTCAAGTTCTATTTAAGTTTTGATCCTTTTGGGTCTAAGGAAGGGTGTAGCATTGTGTCAATTCCTTTCTGTTGCTGTACTAAATGCTCTTAGTGGAACTATATGTCCTATCTGCAATTTATGGATTATCAACACAAAAGCTCAAAGATGCCACAGAAGAATGAGGCTGAAGAGATGTTAAGGAAATGGGGGAACTATGCAATGGAGAATGGGGTTGGTAAATCTGAGTGGCAGGTGGAATTGAATCTATGGTGCTTGGACTTTGGTACGAGTACCGGGTACTCGGGAACGGATCTAAGTGTCATATATTTTATTTCCTAAAATGTAGGATACAAAGGCATTGCTAAAAAAGAATCTAAATTTTGGACACGAGTAAGTGGGTATGTCCTCGAACTTCATTTTTTTTTCCTGAAATTCACATGTAAAAAATTAAATAATAATTAGGTGGCAAATTGTTTAATTGAATAAGTGATTTTATTGGGGCTTATTTTACAATTAGAAATACTTAAGGGTTAGAGATGAATAAAATAGAAATTTATGGATTTAGTTTTCAATTACTGGAAATAAAGTGTTAAATCTTATATTATATGAAGGTTTGAGGACTTACTTTGCAAATTGGGGTTAGTGGGCCACAAAACCAATTCAATTCTATCCATTTCTCACTTTACCAAATAGAAAGATGAGAAAGAAAATGGCAGAGATCGAGAAACAGAGAGAAAAGAAGGAAAAAAGGGAAGAGAAGAAAGGGAAAATAAAGAATAAAGAAGAGAAGCCAATCGTTGATAGTTCACTTGCTGGAAGCAAGAGCAGAGATTGTCTATCTCCCAAGAACACAACCAACGAATTTGCCGGCAGCAACTGATTTATCCAACCAAACTTCGCAAACCGAATTGTTAGTAGCCCGCAAAATTTCTCACGTACCAGAATTGTTGGCAGCCCAAATTTCACCTTTATTTCTGCCATTCTCATTCCTATCTCATTTTTATGCCCAAAATTCGTTCCTAGGTTACCGTGTCCATCCCATATTTCATACCCATGTTGTGCCGTGTCGTATCGTGCTTACACGGGTATGCTGGTAGGAATCAAGAGTTCGAGCATCACAGAATTGAATTAGATCATTTTTGGCCTACAATGGAATAATTGAAATAATAGAATTTTTTGTAATTATTCGGAGAGGTTACGACTCTTGCCTCTTATTATTTTAGATCCTTATTATTTTAGATCAGGTGATGGGATATTGGGTAATGTTGAAGAAAGAAGCTTGAAGTCGGTATAAACGGGAGATAACGCTAGTCTTAGTTGTGAGGGGGATAACATTTGGTTAGTTTCTAGGATGTCTTTGGTCAAGAGGAGGCTAGAGCATTGTTATTCCCAAGATAATGAAAGGAGAACAGTGCCTAGGAGATCATCGACAGGAGCAGAGGAGTTAGAATGAAGCAAGAACTTGCATTGAAGAGTTCAGTAAGTATGAGAAACATTCTGTTGTATTTAATTATGTTTGATGTTTTTTCTCACCCATGTTTATCATGAGAAAGTCTTTACATGGGAATGCATCCATGGTTCGTAATCTTTTGGTATTTACTCTGTATATGGGTTTGCTCCTGCTTTTAGCACATGTTTAGTGGAATTTTGAGTTATCCAAAATAAAAAAGACAAAAAGATATTGCCATTCCCCTCTCCGTCTATTTTTCAATTTTTTGTACAATCCTAAGTATTGCAATTTACAGGTTTGCCACCTGATGAAAGTTGGATGTGAAATCATCTTGCTTAATTTTTTGATAGTGAAGTCTAAATTTGATCTATCTATACGCTAATTTTCTTTTAGAGTAAGATCAATTAATGTTAGGAATCCATGGATAAGTCAATTCTCTGAAATTTTGTTCGTTTCATGAGTCTTATATATTTTAATAACTTTATATTGAATCTAAAATTTTATCGGCTAAAGTGTTTTTGATTATGATAATTTTTTTCTCTATGATGCACCGACACATTTATAGTTTCGGTGTGTTGGTATTTGATGCGTGTTGGACGTCGACATGATCCCATCGGAGGTGCCACATGGCGTATCCCCCTTTTTTTAACAGTCAAACATGTTGTCAATACGTTGCTGACATGCAGTGGTTGGTTTTTCTTCCAATGAGCTCTGTGGGGTTTGGTTGCAACCAATTTAATGCTTGTTAATTGTTGGTTCAGAAAACGAAAAGTCTTATTATGAACAAGATTTCTAAAATCCTCTTTGAACAAGTGACCAGAAAAATGGTCTATTTCTCTTTCTTATTTTTTTCTTGCTACACGCATCAATAACATAAAATAAGGTAGTCCAACCACATGGTTTAGCATTCAATATTTATCATTTGTTATCTTTAAATGAGGAATTGGTTTAACATGTTATTCGTTATTTTTATGTTTTGGCTTGTGGATTTTCTCTTTATAATGTCCTGAACAAATGAGTGATTAGTATACTCTGTGCTTGATTGGCAGTCTTACAGTCATGTTAATCAATCTATAGCGTTGAGCATGGACTTATGCTGTTTATCCATGAAACTTTTTGCAGGATTACATAAAGGTTTTAGCGGAAAAGTTTCCAGAGAGTAAAAGGGTTGGTGAGTTGATCTAACTGGCTGCTAAGTGCATTTAGTTACTTATACAAGCTTGCTTATGTCTTATTGTGGTAGTGACTTATCTTATAGATATGCGAGTAATTATGAGCTCGATTTCTTCTCTCACTTTTCTTGATCACACTTCTACCAACTTATATCGATGCTGATGATACATGTTGACTTTGTATGAAGGCAAATATTGGTATTGTCAATCATATTATATGCTTACGGTCACATATTTGTCCTGTACATGGTTGTTTTCAATTTCACCAGCTAAAGCTTAATATAGACGCTGTTATCATTGGATATTTGGAGAATGTGGGTGATAATGCAATAATGCTGTAGCATCAGTCTTGCTTTCCATGTTGCTATGGTAGGAAGATGTTCCATTTTTATGCTTGTTTGGTGTCTGAGAATTCTTATTTTACATAGACTATTGGGATTGAATGATTGATCATCTTTCTGGAGTGATGGCTTGGTTGATACTTGGTACATAATATGAAAGAACATTTGATAGAAACTACTTAATATATGAATAGTGTTTATCTCTTTGATATTGGAAACAACATCATTTTGCCCAACATTAACAACTTGAAGGCTAGTTAAACAACCAGAGAGCTTCCGTGTTTGGTTTGTTAAAGTGGTAACCTTCAGCTTATTGTATTATATTGGTGGACCTTTGATATGCTATGATTGGTTTATAATTTTAAGTCTAGCATTACTTGCCATTCTCCTGAAATTGCAAGGTGGATGTTAATTTTTTGTTGAGTTCCACTTGTAAGGTTTTGTATTTTTTTACTTTTACATTGTCACGTGAAGTATTTAGAAATAGGATGACATCATATAGCCAAGTTGTCCTGGCATGGTTATGCTTGTAAGCTGTTTGCTTGGTTTTCTGGTTTCACTGAATTTGAGTTGCACCTGAGGGATGTGACCATAATTTTTGTTTGTGAATATCTTACATATATACATGAACTATGAAACTGTAAATATTTACCGGTGGCAAAATTAAAGATGATTGTAGATTAAAGTCATAGTGTTAGGCCCCTCTGGAGTGTTTCCAGAACAACTTGTGCCTCCATGATTTGAAATACTCCTTGGCAAATGGTTTTTCATCTCCTTCAGTAGTTTTAGGACTTAATGGGTCATATGCACAGCTGTGTTCCGGATTTCTAATTTTAAAATTGTTAAATTCTTTCAAAAGAAAAAACTTTCTGATGGTCTCTGCAAATTTAGTGAAAATAAAAGTAAAAAACGTATTATTGCCTGGCAGATTTGAGTATGTTTCCATGTTTTATTTTTCTGATAAGCAAGATAAATGATAACAAATTGGCATGAAGGGAATGCAAATAGTGCAAAACCTCCGATATATCTACACTCCAGCGGGTACTTTTAAAAAAAATTAACATTTCCTATATTGAAGACGTGATAAAAAAAAATTGAAAAATAATTCTACCTATAATATCTACATCTGTTTTTTTGTATGAACGCATACATAAGAAGCTTTATCTTTCATTTAATGAAAGAACTCGTTTTGAAAAGAATGCTGCTGAATCTTTGAACAGGTTAGATCATTTTGATGATCAATCTAGAAAAAACTGTGTTTGCATTGCTGTACTGCCTTCCCCTTATCTTCATTCCCCTTCCCCCTATTAATCTCCCAAACATTGCAAAAACAAAGGACGTCGACAAACATATTTCTTCCCTGATTTTCTTCGATCTATGATTGGCACAAATGCCCTTTCATGAAAAGTATAGTTGACACATGCAAGGCATTGAATATTTCATAACCTCTTAAGGATCTTTTTGCAGTCAAGTTACTAATGAATGATTCTGAATTCCTTGGTAGGATGTATTTTACACATGTCATTACACAGTTATTTTATTGTGCTAATATTTCTGTTTTAGAGCCAGTGGCTCGATTTGTTGAACTGAGCTACCTGTTCAATTTTCTCATTGATTTGCAGAATGTCTCTGTTTCCATCTTTTTGTTGTTAATATTTTACTAATTGACTTTAAAAAAGAGGCTAACAAGCTGTTTTGTTAAGCTGATGTCGACAGTTGTTTATTTATTTTGACTTCTAATTGTTTCTTGATTTCAATAAAATAGCTCTATATTATTCAAAAGTTTTGTTGTGATATAATCACAGGTAGGCTGGAAGCATTATTGCTTGAAGCCAAGGGTTTATACGAAGAGGCAGAAAAAGCTTACTCGAGCCTTTTGGAGGACAATGAGCTTGATCCGGTAGGTACAAAAACTGGAGGTCAATCATTTTTTGGGTTGGTCATTATTATTATTATTATTATTATTATTTTTTTTTTTGGGTGGGCAGGGGGTGGTTTTATTTTAATGTAGTAAGTAGTGCGAGGGAAAAATTCGTGGTGACTCGTTGAGTGCTTTAGATAGAAAAATGTACAATTTTGATGCATTTATCAAAGAAGTAGAATCGATAGACCCACCATTGAAGAATGCAGATCTCTCAAGTTCAAACTCAAGAGGCAATATTGTTCGTTCTTAGCTGTACATATTTTGGTTCACTATCAAGTGGAGTGATCTTTTTACCATATGTCTACCAACATGTTTTGCTGTGGAACGGCATTCTGGCTTTTCAACATTTGGATTGGGTGTTGTCTAGGCGTACAGATGACGTGTTGCGGGCATAGAGGGGAAAATTTCGTAATAAGGATAGTAGGCTTCTGTGGGATTTTATTCCGAGATGTATTATTTGATGTGTGTGGAGAAAAAGGAACAGTCGTCGTTTTGAAGACCAAACACGGCTAACAGGGTAGATCAGAGAATTATTTTATTTGACTTTGTATTCTTGGTTTAATGTTGCAGCTATTAATCATATAGGCCTGTCTAACTTCATGTCGTTTCTTTCTTGTATATATTAATAATACACTTCCCGTGGATTATCTTTTGATTAATAAAATTATTTGATCACCTATCCAAAAGAAAAAAAAAAAACAACATTTTTTGCTGTAGGGAGTCTCAAATCCTTGTTCAATAGTAATTGATTCTTCACCTTTTATGTGAGGGTCAACTCCTTTTTTGAAATGTGTGGCATAACCGTAAGCTATTTAGTAATGCACTTAAACAACGCTCAAAAGGCGTTCTTCATGGTAGCAAGTTGTATGAATTTATGCAGAAGCTTAAGGTTATTAAGGAAATACTGGAGTAGGAATAAAGAAGTTTTTAGTAATTTAAGGTTGGAAAAAACATCGATTACGAGACGGAAACTGAGGAGTTGGAAAAGGCTGAAAAGAATCTGATTTAAGTCAAGCTCTTAAATTATAAGAATGATGCTATTTGAAATGCAAGTTTGAAGATCTTTTAATGTGAGAGGAAAGGTCTTTGAAGCAAAAGACGAAAATCAAGTGTATCATAGAAGGTGGTGCCAATTTGATGTTGTTCCATTGTGTCTTCGGTATGTTATTTGTTATCAAGATCGAAAAGGAGGATGGTGGTATGTGAGGAGTTGATTGAAAAGAAGTTAGACCCAAAATTATACTTGGTTCACATTGGTGTTGCTTGGATAGGTGTATTACAAAAGAAGGGGGTAGTAGAGTTGCGTCTAGGAATACTTGGAAACATGTATCACAATTTACTCAACAATTTCTTTCTTAAACTAGATTGGAGGTTGGTAATGGGAAGAAGGTTAAACTTTGAGAGATGTGGAGAGGAGGTGTGTGTATATATATGTGTCTTTTGCTACTCATTTTCCTTGGCTATTTTGTTTTACTTCCATTCTTAAGAGTTTTTATTTCCTCTTTTTTATTTTTATTTTTTTGGAGAGATTTCGTATTTCTCGTCAGTGTTTTGTGACAAAACAGTTGGAAGAACTAATTCTTTTGCTTAATATATTTGAGGATTTCCCAAATTGGGTAGATTCGAAGGATGAGAGGATTTAAGACTAGATTCTTCTGATCTTTTTTTTGAACCACTCATTTATCTCTTCCAGTCATCCTTCGCGATTCTTCTTAAATTTCTCATTTCCTTCCTTTAATGTTCATTTGGTTCTATTCCCACCAAAGCTGAAGTTTTTGCTTGGTTAGTGGGTCATGATAAGTTAAAATGCTACTTATATTATCCAAAAGAAGAGACTGTGCATCCTTTTGTCTCATTCATGGTGTTTTTTCTGTCATGATGTTGAATCGATTTAATCAAATTGTGTTGCATTCTAAGTTGGGCTTGAGATGTTGAACCAACTTGTCAGTGGAAGCAGAAATTGATCACATGATGTATTGAACCTGTTTTACCATGCTGTCTCGGTATTATGGTGGTCTTGGTTTGGCTAAAGAAGTTAAAGTTATTTGGAAGTCTACAATTTAGCCATCTTTTGGGGTTATATGGTTAGCAATAATGCTAGAATTTTTTAGGGAATGGCACTAGATTCTGGGATAGGATTATTTTTGGCGTCTCTTTGGATGTCTACTAAGATTTTAAACACTTCCTGTCAGGGGCAAATCCAGGGTTGAGTTCAGCTAGGGTGGTCGCAAGTGTTGAATGCTTACTATTAACGGCCAACGTTCGTTATAGCAGGGTTTTTTATTAATATTTAATTAAATAATGTTAAAAAAATCATATGGATTATAACTAGAAGAACTAGATATACCACTAGAACTAGAACTAGGTAAGAACTTTCATTTTAGATGAAAAAATCGTTCCATAATCTGCAAAATGTCTTCATTTATTTTTCAATTAAATAGGCAATATATATTAACAAAATGCCAATATTCAGTTTACAATTAAAGTTAATTAAACTAGTATTATTATATTAACAAAATTGAAATTATTTATGTGCTTAAATCAATTTTATGTGCTTATATGATTTCACTTTCTAGCAATCGATTTTTTGTAAACGAAAAGTGGAACCTTTTATTAATTAAATAAGTTTTGTTGAAAGATTCTTTATAATACTAAGGCCAATTTTCCTACAAATTTATCTACCATTAATTGATTAAACTCTCAAATCAATTGATTAGGGGGAAAAAAAGAAAAAAAAAAAAAAGAAAATCAAGAAGTGGGACAAAGCACCAGTTAAAATGTTTCTACTTGCATTAAACCAGTAAAATTGAATATATATTATTTTGTTACATTATGTACTAAAAATCAATAAGTGTCATAATGGTAAAGTGGTCAATATGCTTAAAGAAGGTAGCGGGTTTGAATCACCTTCCTTGCATTTGTTTTGTTGAAATACAAAAATTATAAAAAATATTGCTCTTGAAGAGTTTTGAATATAGGACCTCCAATTCAATAAAAGGAAGTGCTAGCCAGCTAAGCTAACAGATATGTTTGTTATTAATATGAATTATCAAATATATAATCTAAAAATTTCATCTATTATCAGCAAAAAAAAAATTTCCCCGGCGAATCCAGTTAGGGCGGCCGCCCTAGCTCGCCGGTCCCTAAATCCGCCCCTGCTTCTGTTTAGGTTTTAGGGAACTAGGTGATACCATGTAGTTTTCTATGTTGTTTCTACTATTAGTGGATGTCTTGTCCACTTATTTTGTTCTCCGTATATTTTTCCCTGTTTTTAGTAAAAAAAATTCATTTCTGTTTGATAAATCCCATCATGATGTGTAAAATGTGTATGCCTTTCGTAGTCAGAAATAAGTGTATGCCTTTCATAGTTTTTTTTTGGATAAAAGACCCTTATAATTTATCATTCAGGTAATTCACAAGAGGAGGGTAGCCCTGGCAAAGGCACAAGGCAATATTTCCGGGGCAATTGAGTTGCTCAACAAATATCTCGAAATGTGAGAAAATCTTTGAAGCTTCAAACTTTATATGTTTTGAAAATGTAGAGTATCTCTGACTGTTGGGTCTTTCCCCAGATTCATGGCAGATCATGATGCGTGGAGGGAACTAGCTGAAATCTATGTATCCCTACAAATGTAATC